CCTCGTCTGTTCCTGTTTGGCTGTGACGTCATCCTGGAAAGAAACATCAGCTGTGCTGCTTCCATCAACACCGTTGTTAATAGATGTTGGAGATCGGCCTGTTTTCCAGTGTGGTCCTGTTTCTCTGACCGTGACTGAGTGGATGTGTTCTCTTCGTCCTCTGGCATGGGAGCTGCCTTGGAGCTCGTCTGCCTGGCTGTGTGTTTCCTGGACGGGGCCGCCTTTTACAGCTGCTTTTTGTATCTCTGCTTCTGTCTCCTTGAACCCCAGTCGGCCTCGGCAGATGGCCGCTCACACTGAGCCTGGTTCTGCTGGAGGTTTCTTCCTGTTAAAAGGGAGTTTTTCCTCTCCACTGTCGCTACAAGCATGCTTAGTGTGAGGGATTGTATTTGAGTCAATGAGTCAATGCAATCAACTGGTTTTCCTTAGATAGAAAACTTTGTATCAATTTGACTGTATGATCTGGTTGAACTGTAAAGTGCCTTGAGATGATGTGTGTTGTGAATTTGGCGCTATATAAATAAACTGAATTGAATTGAATTGAAAATAAATCCGATCACATAATGAGATTGATTTATGTAGTTTGGGTTCAGGTGAGAAATGAATGAATATTTAAAATGATCTCATAGCTTTTATCTTTAGTTTTAAATGTATTTAAAGTGTTTTTAATCATTGATATTTCTCTCTGCTGCTGTTGGATCAAAGCTTTTTTAAACATGCAATTAAGGCAAAAACATCATCCAGTAACAAAGAACATTTACTTGATTACTGTACTTAAGTACTTTTTTGAGTATCTTTACTTCAGTGATTTTCTGCTAATCCTCTGTTTCTGTTTTTCATCCATCATGGCGGATAGTAGCCTTAAGGACTGAATCTGGACGCCACTGATTTACAGATTTAATTATGTTCCACCGATGAGAGAAACTTAATTAGAAGTTTATCATTAAGGCGTTGGTTGTTGCCATGAGGCCAAGTTGATCAGGAGAATGAGTCTCAGATCAGTTATAATTTCTAACATATTAAACCTTTAACCTCTATTCTATAATGGAAGAATGAGGAAAATCAAGACTCTCTTTTATTTTATCATTTGTTGTGTTTTTAAATTAGAAATACTAATAAAATATCTGTCCTTATTTCTAATGCTGAAGTTCTTTCCAGGTGGTGTAGAATCTATAGCAGGCGGTTCTATGCATCAATACATCAGAAGGTTTCTGAAAGTTACAGGTTCTTTAAAATTACTCTGAAAATTAGACAGAAATGTTCTAATGTTAGAAAATGAAATTTTTAATTTTCAACACTTAATTATGAATAAAAATGAGAACTAGTACTTCAACTTGATTAAATGTTTGACCGAGTAACTTTTCCTGTTAGTTGAGTAAGATTTTAGTATCGATACTTTTACTGAAGTACTGCTGTTGAATACTTCGTCCATCGCTGGTAAACAGCTGAGTTTTCTTCCTGAAGAGATGAAAGGATGAAGCGAAGCCATGGAGGGTTCACTGGGTTTATGCTTTGGTCACCATCAGGGAGCTCAGCTCTCACACTGACAGAGTGACACATGCATCTCGTGCACCATTGAATTTCTCTCTCCTAAACGAGTGCATCCACATACTGGGATCTGCAGACTGACACTAAAATATAGATCCTTACAAACCAGAACTTTAACCTCTAGTATCAACTTTTAAACTCAAAATTCTATACTTTTCATACTAGTTATTTTAAGTAATGTTTGTTAACAAGAAATTGGCTGAAATGCAGACATTTGATGGGAACTACTTTTCTTCCGCCTGGTGAGGACATAATGCTTCAGTAACGGGGGAGCATCATGTCACCAACAGATCAATATAGATGTTTAGGACGAGCTTTTTTAGCTCCATAAGGAGCCAAAATGTGACCTGATGATCGTGGGAAAACAACCTGATTAATCTCTACAGGTTTAAACTACAACATAGAAGATGCAGAACTGATGATGAGGATGGAGGAGGAAGAGCACAGGTGCTGCTAGAGTTCAGTTACAGAGTTTCAGATGCTGGGATTATTTAAGCTTTTTAACCAAACAGAAATGATCTGTTTAAGGAAAATTTCCTGACAAATGAATCATTTAAAGTCGATTATCTTGATCGAACAAAGTAAATGAAATAAAATATATTTTGTTAACTTTACAAAAACATAGAAGATGGTTCTCAGTACCGAGGTGTTCATCTGAAGAACAAACTGGACTGAACTCCCAGCACTGAGGCTCTGGATGAGAAAGGTCAGAGCAGAGTCTTCCTGCTGAGGAGACAGCAGGGGGCGCTCCTACAGACCTTCTATGACTCTGTTGTGGCATCAGCCATCTTGTATGGAGCCGTCTGTTGGAGCAGTGGCTTATCTGTAGCTGAGAGGAAGCGTCTGGATCAGCTGATTAGGAAGGCCAGCTGTGATTGGATGCCCTCTGGACTCAGTGCAGGAGGTGGGAAACAGATGGATCCTAACTAAATGAACATCTCTGTTGGATCATGTCTCCCACCCCAATGCATGAAGCTGGTGGTGAACTGGAGAGCTCCTTCAGTGTCAGACTGCTGCATCCTAAATGCACCAGGTAGCGTTATCACAGATCCTTCCTCCCAGCAGCTGGAAGACTCTAGAACCACCACTGTTCCCAACAACCTCAATCAGTTCTTCCATTCATGCTGATTTTGCAGTTTCTACCTTAAGCCTGGCGACACTGTGAGATTTTTGGGTCGATTTTCCAGGTGTGCGAGAATCTTTCGATCTCTAGCCTAGAGTACTCTAGAATCTAGTCTAGTCTCTAGACTTTCAGCCTGATGGTGCGTGGTCTAGTGTACAGGGGGTTACGAGCGGCGATCAGCCTCTCACGCCACCTCCCAATCAGGAACCGTGAGGTTGGGAGAAAATCAAACATGTTTGATTTAGTGGGCAAATAGCTCAGGGCACATGCACACAGAAGGATTCTTCTTCTTCTTCTTCCTCTCAGATGTAAACCCAGCAGCATGGCGGGGGGGCAATGAGTGAAATGGAGTTCTTTCTGTCAAATTGACAGACTGTAGTAGCCACGTTTGCTCAGCCATGTCTTTGTCCAAATACGTCGTTGTCTTTTCTTTTTAGGACTTTCAGCACAAAAATGCACAAATAGCCAAGGCAGCTTGTTCACTATAGTGAGCTTCATATTCCTCTATTTGTTTGGCTTCCAGATAGAAGAGTCAAAGCAGCTCCATCTCACTGTGGAGCTGAATGCTACCTAGTTTTTAGTTGCACAGTGTGAGCAGGTAGATCGCATCAGAGCGTCGGGCTGAACATAAATGGTGAGCTGTAAGCTCACACTGTACGACTAAACCCTGCGGTTAGTTGAAGTACAGTGTGAGCAGAAGCTGCGTGCAACGACTGAAAAAAATGGCACAGTGTACGGCCGGCTTTAGTCAGTTAAATAACCTGCTGCTGTCATTCTGCACATCTCTGATGTTGCTGCTATTTTCAAATATCCATCACTGTAAAAATGTCCACAGCTGCATATTGGTTATTAATTCTCCAGATGAACAGTTCTAAATTGTTAAAAACTTTTTCAGTATTGTATTGTTTATCCTTTTAACTCTTTACTATTATATTATTCTTATACATTTTTCTAAGGTCCACATTTATGTGACCATTTTTTCTATAATCTTTTTGCTGCTGAAACACCAGAATTTCCCCATTGAGGGACAATAAAGGGATTTTCTATTCTATTTTATTCTATTCTATAAAAATAAAACTTTATAAACTACTATGTTTTGCTATTTAAAATCAGTCCAATTAGCTATAACTGTAAATGTTTAAAATGTGGGTTTAAACATTTAGTGCAATGATTATGGCATTTATTTATGAGGTAAACATTTTCAAACATGGAACTGTTTTTCTTTTCCAGACGTGTTTCTGCTGCAGCAGATTATTTCATTTCCTCCCCAGAAGCAACCGAAGGCTGCAGAGGAAAGCCTGAAAATCAGTTTATTAAATACCTAAACATGAAGGTTTGAAGGCCCCACTGTTATACAGCAGCTACTTTATTCTAACTGTTAACAAACACATGAGGGGAATTATCAGCATCACCAAAGCAGACTCTACTTTAACAAGTATTAGATTATGGAATAAAAGATATTTAGAAGGAATATTTAAGGGACAGAATGATGGCTAACAGCAGCAGCTAATGATGTTTTAAAATAAATGATTATATCCTAAAATAAATACATTTTTAAAAGAGAAAGTAAATATTAAAATAAATTAAAATTACAATGTTTGATGATAAAATATTTGTCTTATTGTATGTTTTGTTTCCTTTCATATAGATATTTATTATTGATTGGATCATTCACTAATATTTACTCAATAAAAGTATTTAAATTGACTGAAATGACCAATAGAAACTTCTTTCTTTCCCACCTTTGATTTATGATCATTTAGGGATTTAGAGTGAGTTTGCTGAGTCATGGTTAGATGAGCAGAGGATGTAATCAGGACCTTCAGCTCCTGAAGGCTGTGAAGAAGCTAATGGAGGCCAGGATGTCTCCCTTCATGACATCACCGGTCCTCCTACTACAGCAGGATCAAACCCAGGAAGCAGCAGGTTCTCAAAGCTAGAGCTAAATGCACAGACTGACTGAAGGTCATAATAAATGGTAGAAGGTGATGAATACTTACAATGGGAGCATGCAACAATCACAATGAAGGCAGAGTCCCACAGAGGGCAGGAGGGAAGGGAAGAGATGAAACATGATTAATGAAAGCTGGTTTCATTTTCACAAAGAGTCACATTATCAGTGCGTGGCAGTTAGCGTTCACGTTTATCCTCTTCGTAATTCAGTCCCACAATCATTCTCATCTGAGGCCTTTAGAGCCAAAATGAAGGATTGAAAGATTATGAATTTGTTCTTTTCTAATGTGAAAATGACCGTTTATTTTTTCTGTTTCAGCATGCAGAAGCTGCTTTCTGACAGCGGCTGATAAACATGCAGGTGAGGAATACTAACCTTGTAACAGTGTGGAGCTAGTGGGCTGAATTACCGCTACATCAGGGAAACAAGTGCAAGAGAGAAACAAGTCGGAAAGACATGATTGGAGAAAAGCAGCAGGGTTTTATATTCTGGCTGCACAGACGCATCCTCAAGGGCTCAAACTGAAAAACTGCCAACAACTTTATTAAAGTGCAGGTGGAGCCCGGAGGCCGACTTACAATCTGCATGCTAATTCTCATTCAGGGATCATTGCATCTAGAATTATATCTCTAGAAACACTGACGACATTTTCTACGTCTGACATGGAGAAAGAAACTCCTTCCAGCAGCTCTGTGCTGACTGCTCACTGCTTTGCATTAAACTGAAAAAGTATTCACACCCATTAAAACGAAAACATGCATTTAAAACGAGTGACCTTTAGTGTGAAAGCTAACAACCAGCTGCCTTTGATTAAGTCCAAATTTTAATTGATCTCATCATGAAAGCTGCTTTTCTATAAATAGAGAATTTTTAGAGAAGACGAGTGAACAGGATGAATGGGAAGGAACACAGCAGACCAATGCTGTGAGTTAAAGCAACGTTAACTTTAGAAAGCGACATCCTGAACTTCTCTGCATCATTTCTACACAACAGTTACAGCAGCAGCCATTCAATATGGCTCTTACCAGTAAAACATCAGCCGAATGGCAGCCCACTTCCCTGCATCTCCCAGCAAAATCCTCCCCAAATTCCAGGCACTGGAGTGACCCCCCCCTTGCATATTATTTTACTCTGACTCCACTCTTTCACTGAATTACAGCGTCTGACTGGGAGATAACGCTTCTCTTTAGATCTTAGTGTCCACAAATCATGACAGAAAGAATATTTTAGTACAAAGATTGATGTTTAAAAATGAATTGTAGAGAACCAGCCAAGGACCAGCCAAGGACCAGCCAAGGACCAGCCAAGGACCAGCCAAGGACCAGCCAGGAACCAGCCAAGGACCAGCCAAGGACCAGCCAGGAACCAGCCAGGGACCAGCCAAAGACCAGCCAAGGGCCAACCAAGGACCAAGAAAGGACCAGCCAAGGGCCAGCCAAGAACCAGCCAGGGACCAACCAAGGACCAAAAAAGGACCAGACAAAGACCAGCCAAGGACCAGCCAGGAACCAGCCAGGGACCAGCCAAAGACCAGCCAAGGACCAGCCAGGAACCAGCCAGGGACCAGCCAAAGACCAGCCAAGGGCCAACCAAGGACCAAGAAAGGACCAGCCAAGGGCCAGCCAGGGACCAAGAAAGGACCAGCCAAGGGCCAGCCAACGATCAGTGAAGGACCAGCCAAAGACCAGCTGAGGGCCAACCAAGGACCAAGAAAGGACCAGCCAAGGGCCAGCCAAGAACCAGCCAGGGACCAACCAAGAACCAAAAAAGGACCAGACAAAGACCAGCCAAGGACCAGCCAGGAACCAGCCAGGGACCAGCCAAAGACCAGCCAAGGACCAGCCAGGAACCAGCCAGGGACCAGCCAAAGACCAGCCAAGGGCCAACCAAGGACCAAGAAAGGACCAGCCAAGGGCCAACCAAGGACCAAGAAAGGACCAGCCAAGGGCCAGCCAAGGATCAGTGAAGGACCAGCCAAAGACCAGCTGAGGGCCAGCCAAGAACTAGCCAGGGACCAGCCAAAGACCAGCCAAGGGCCAACCAAGGACCAAGAAAGGACCAGCCAAGGGCCAGCCAAGAACCAGCCAGGGACCAACCAAGGACCAAAAAAGGACCAGACAAAGACCAGCCAAGGACCAGCCAGGAACCAGCCAGGGACCAGCCAAAGACCAGCCAAGGGCCAGCCAGGAACCAGCCAGGGACCAGCCAAAGACCAGCCAAGGGCCAACCAAGGACCAAGAAAGGACCAGCCAAGGGCCAGCCAGGGACCAAAAAAGGACCAGCCAAGGGCCAGCCAAGGATCAGTGAAGGACCAGCCAAAGACCAGCTGAGGGCCAGCCAAGAACTAGCCAAGGACCAGCCAGGGACTAGCCAAGGACTAACAAGGGACCAGACAAAGACCAGCCAAGAATCGGCCAAGGGACAGCCAGGGATCAGCCAAGAACCAACCAGGGACCAACAAGGGACTAGCCAAGGGCAGGCCAAGGATCAGTCACGGACCAGCAAAAGACCATCCAAGGACGGGCGAAGAACGAGCCAAGGACCAACCAAGGACCAGCCAGGGACCAGCCAGGGACCAGCCAATTATCAGCCAAGAGCCAGCCAAGAGAAGTGGGGTAATTTCTAATGGCTGCTACTGTAGGTGTCTGAGCTCGGCTGCTTCTCTACCGTCAGGCCTTCATGGTGAAAACAAAACCGGATTTACTGGGAACCAACAGACCTGAAGAGGTTTGCCTTCCAGCTTCAGTCCAAGCTCAGTCTATGGTGGAGTGGTCTAGTCAAATCCCAACAGAACCAACTCAGAACTGAAATGTGATCTTAACCTTTTAACCTGCATAAACTTTACCTGACATCACTGTCTGAGATATGAATGCAGTACAACGTCAAAAAGTTCAATGGGTGTGAAAACTTTTGAAGGACACTGACTGGGTCTAAAAAAGGTGAAAACTAAAGAGACTCTGTTCATTCAGCTTTTTTTTATAGAAATAGACTCACCATACAAAAGGAAGCTGGTGTTTGAGCTGCCCAGCTTGTTGATGGCGACGCACGTGTAGTTCCCATAATCCCCATCGGTGACGTTATAGAAGGTGAGCTTAGACAGGGAGCCGCTGCTGACGATCTCCATGCCATCAAAACCGTTAAAGATCCTAAACAACACAAAGATGTTCTACTCTTATTAAAGTAAAACTGGCAGAAAGTTTATCATTATAACTTTATGACTCATATTTCCTTCTCCAAAATGTAAAGTTTGCATAATTTACCTTCTGTTGTCTCGGTACCACTCAAAGTCTGCCTCTGGCACAGCATCCGCCTCACACTCCAGCTCTCCTCTCTGACCCAGAGTCACTCCAGCATCTCTGCCGTCTGAAACGCTCGGAGCGTCTGGAAGAAGTCGGCAGCAGAGAGACGTTCAGGGAAGCTTCCTGCTACACAGCTCAGCTTTAAACGTAATCTAGATTAGCTTCAGGTTCATTTATCACAGTGGAAAATTACAAGAAGAAATGACTGCTTTAGTTAAAAAGTAGAAAAACCTGCACTAAACTTTGGAACAATAAAAAAAAAATCTTTTGTTTCACTTAAATGTATTAGTTTTTCTCAAATAAAATTTATCAGATGGTTTTAAAGTCTAAATGTTGATTTATTAGAAATATGTTTTTCTAGCTTCAGACAAAGAAAGAATCTGCATTCATAAAAAGTGAAATTATAATTTATAACAGATAATAAACAGGTTTTATGCTTTGTTATAACTTTATTTTTCAAATCGGAAAATACACATTTTTACCATTCCATACATTATTAACGTACTTTGGAATAAAGTAGTGACCACATTCAAAACTGTGTTTATTTCAAATAGTGAATACGTACAGATACTTTGCACCAACTATATTGATGACGGTCAAAGGATTCCTGAAAACTTAGAGGTTTTTAAAAGCTCAATAGTTTAAATTGTTTTTTAACAAACTGAAGAACCTGAAAAGCTTCAGAGTTTTTAAAATCATCTCTATATGATAACATTTCACCTAATAACTAAAATGCAGTGCAGACTGCAGTAGCAGGAACGGCGCCTCGCCGATGGTGTGCAGTGCTGCTCACATCTACTCTGAATCAGTGAGGTGATGAGGTCACATTCAGCAGTGAACCGATAAACCTTTAGTGACTCTATTACCTTTGACCTGAAGTAGATATTTACCTGGAAACTAAATGTTTCAGTTATTGTTTCCACGATTAAGGTTTTTAATCCCAGGTAAAGGGAAATTATTGGTTTCAAACCATAATTTTTTTTTTTAAGTTAAAACATCACATTTTAAATTCACTAAATGAAATTTCACTTCTTTCGGTGCAGTTTGACTAAAAACAGAGAACTGAACTTTTCACAGGATTGGAGAAACAGGCGATCATTCCAGCTCATCGATGACGTTCAGTCTGAGCTCATCAGACCAACATCTGGACAGATGGCTTCCAAACAAACATTTAGCCAACGTCCACCGGTGGACATCAAATAGAGGTCCACCGGTGGACCTTTATCGGCTAAATGTCCACCGGTGGACGTCAGATAAAGGTCCACCGGTGGACATTTATCCGATGCGTGTTCCGAGCTGACGGAGCTCAGGAGGCTGATCTCTGCTGGAGGCTTTGCAGGCTGTTCCTCCTTCATCAGCTTCAAATCCACAGAAATAGAAACTAGAACTTTCTAAACATATGAACACTTTAGAAAATGAAAGAATATTTGAACAGAGATCAACTAATTTGAAAAGTATGTTTTTTTTATGGGAAGCCTAATTGTCCTGCAAGTGATTTATATGGAAGTAAATCTGTGTTGCTGGGATTTGAATTAAAAATGCCACTAAGCAGTTGTGGTGCCTTGATACGGAAGGAAAACCAGCATCATGGAACCGGTCATGCAAGCTAACGCTAACTCAACTACAGAAAAATGAAAGTAATAAACTCACCGTTGAGTTAGCGTTAGCTTGCATGACCGGGTCCGTCATGCTGTTTTTCCTTCAATATGAGCGCCACATGCGTCACGTCACGTGACTAAGAAAACGTAACGGGATTGGCTGGGTGTTGGACGCCACAGTCCATTGCTAATGTCTGTGACCTGAAGTAACCCTTCCCTTTTTACGCTGAATTTAGACACCACAGTGAAATAGAGCCAGTTGAATCTCAGGAGGCTGAAAATATTGAGTTTGAATTTTGAAAGGTTGAATTTTTTTTATATGCTGATTTTTTTTAACACTGAAAAATTAAACTGAAAAATAAGTATTGAAAATGTAACCACTTTGAAATAGTGATGTGAATTTTTAGCTTGAAGAAAAAATAACATGAAGTTTCAACTGTGTAGAAATAATGACAATACAGTTTTTTTTTTTAGGTCTAAAATGTGTTCTGAATATATTCTAACACTGAAACAGTAAGTACAAACATACAACATTTAAATTTCAGTGCCATTTTTAATTCAAATCCCAGCGGCACAGATTTACTTCCATAGATTTAGTTTAAAACTTTAACTGACTTTAGTTTATCTCCCACTAAAATCAGCCAGACTGTTTATCCAGTCAGATTATTAATCTGCATATAGATAATAAATCCAGACTGCATCTAATCCTGAATGCGTCTCAAATACACATAGAAAAACCTTTAAAATGCTTAAAGACTTTATGGAGCAACTGAGACATTTTATGTGTTTCTTAAGAGATGAAATATTTAAATATATGAGGAAGTGCCTCTCTATGAAGGAAGGAGGAGAAAAATCAATAAAATGAGTTAAAGGGCGACTGAGGAAGAAGAAGACAAGCGGAGAAATGTGGAAGATTTCCATTTAAAAGCTTAGCAGTGGCATTTTGTATCAGTGACTGTCTGGATGTTTCACCTACTTATCTGAAAATGAAGAGCCACAATAATCAAGTCCAGATGAAATAACACAGGAGTGACCTTTTTCTAAATGTGCAGCAGAAAGAAAAGACTCATCTCACTTTGTCTGTCTGAGCTTTAAACAACGCCGCAAATCAAATCCAATAAGAATCATTCAGTGCAGGAAAAATGTCAGTAAAGCTGAGATTCCTAATCAGGAATATATCAGTGGCAGCAGACTTTAATGGGACATGATGGAGAATTATCGTCACAAAAAAAGGAAATGATGGCCTCAACAGAAAATCTGATACTAATTATATTAAGGGAACAGTTTTATATTAATACATCAAATCTGAAATTATTTATTACATGTTTGAATAATGAAAGTAAAGCAAATAATACAAGCTGAAATGAAAGCAGACAAACTGCAGAGTAAAACCATCAGTTAGCCTGTTAGCCTGTTAGCATGGCCTCCTGTCAGCGTATTGTTTAATAAAGACACGCCTTCATTTAAGGATGTTAAATAATGCAACAGAACAAAGATTTACCATCAGTCATATCTAGGAGAAATTATACAAAACATTCACCTAAAAAATAAAAATAAAATAATGGATGGAAGCATTACTGAAGGTTTTTTTGTGCATTTAGTCCTTTTATGAATAAATACATGGAATAAATGTGAACAGATAAAACTAGTGGGGCAGTTTTACTGAAAACTATTCAGTCTAAGCAGCAGGCCAGTTCCTGGCTCTGATGATGATTCATGTCTGTAGTTTGTTTTTCTTTACTTTAGACGTTTAATTCCAGTTTCCAGTTAAACAGCAGGAAGCCTTCAGAAAGCTGGTTCTGCAGTACGGCGGCCATGAAGGCATCCGGCGCCAGCAGACGACCTATGATCGGTTGTTCTGATTGCAGGACGCCTGCTGATGACCTTCCTGCAGGAACGTTTCTCCAGTGATGCTGGTATTGATCTCTGACCTCTTTGTCTTCAGGCTTTTCTAGGCTCAGCAGCATTTTATATGCAATCCTGCATTCTCTAATTGAACAGCTGAATGCATAGAAGGTAAACCTGCCTCTCAACAGGTGGAGGTTAAATTCAGCAGGAGGCAGAGCGAAGCGATAAACAGGGACATGCCATCAATAAGACGAGCCGGTTTACACTATTTAATCTATTTTAAAAAGGTCACTTCTAACTTTAGTGTTAATGCAATAATTTGGTCACTGTACAACATTTCTATCTCTGTAGAAATAGAAACTAGGATAGATGAACTGATTGTTGCTCTGTGCAGGTGGCTAACTGAGCCTAGCGGTAATGCAAGGCTCACAGGAGCAGCTCTAGTCTATGTTTTCCTCGTGCATCGTCTGTTTATGGGTGATTCTTTAACTACGGGTGTCAGGAATCCAGTCTTTGTGGATTGTTTCTGTGTTTCCTCTCCTCCTCCACCAGGTGGTGCCCCGTCCTCATTGGGTCTCCCTGCACACCTGCAGCTCGTTGCCTCATTACCTGTGGAGTGCTCTTAAGCTGCTGACTGCCACTACCTCGAGGCCAGAGTGTTTGCCAGTTTTGGGTACTCTAGCCAAGCTGAGTTTGCTGAGTCAAACTGAGTTTCTTGTTTTCCTGAGTTTTAATCTTGCTGTTTTTGTCTTTGCCTCTCAGCAGGAAGTCATTCTGCAAACTGGATGTTTCGGACCTTCTCTCCCCTGGAAGGATCTTCTAAGAACCAAACTAAGCTGAGCTCTGCAATAACCCGTTCAAGTACCGCAGGAAATCTAACTTGTAGTCAGCTTCTCCGTTCACCAAGGATCAACCGCACTCTGGGTAAACCTGTCCACCCTCCATCAAACAAGACAATCACTGGAACATCCCACACAGACTGGATTCAATAAAAGACACCTTTTCTGGAAACTTCCGGTTGGACAGTGTTCAGAGCAGCACTGGACTCATCTCATTATAATAATAAACCTGTTAAACTTTTCCCTGGTCTCTCTGTTTGGTCTTCTGCATTTTGGGTCAGATCTTTAATTAAATCATGACAACGGGCATTATTGGCCTTGCAAACTTGAAGAGAAAAAGTATAATATAACATAAATTCTCACAATGTAATCGGTTAGCATAACTAGTCAAGTTTGAAGATTCATAAGAGCTGATATTTTAAGACAAATTGGTGTTTTTTAACAGATTTCCCAACTCGGCTGGCACAAATATTATTTCCATCACATATAAATATTTGTCATTTATTCTAAAATACTATGATACACATAATGTTTTTTCATATTTACTTTTAACTGTTTATGTCTTTATTGTAAAACAGATACATTTAAAGATTAGGTAAATTAATTGTGATGAAGACAAGAAGTTCGCCATAACCCGAAATATAGCATTGGAATAGCAAGATACATTTCAAGGTGTAAAAACTTGTGTTTTTAATTAAAGCAGAACATTATCTCTTAAGTTATGAAGAAGGTTTTAATCAGTGATTAGAATTTTGCAACAATTTATTTAAAAACAAATGGTGTGTTTGAAATGACTGGTTGTTGTGGAAATTACAATGAATGGACCATACAGTAAACAAACCTTTCTTTTTTAAAACTTTATGGAGCACCCAGTTCAAGAATTCACTAAGTACATTAATATTGAATAGGGATGGGAATCGAAAACCGGTTCCTGTTCAGAACCGGTTCTGTATTTTCCGATTCCATGGCATCGTTTGGCAGCTCGCTGAATGATTCCTTTTTTGATTCCCGCAGCACCAGAGCCTAGAGCGCCGGCTCTGGGGAGCACGACTTACGTCACGTTTTTTACGCAAGTTACGCACACGGCGTTCAGTAAGCAAGTACGGAAGACAACGAGCTGCGGTCACTTTGTGAATCAAAGCCCCGTCTTTCCTTAGCCCAGAGGGTAGATCAGGAAATCCAGCTCTATAAAAGCTTGCCCTCCATCCCCTGCAGGGATAGCGCCACACTGTGGTGGTGGAACAAGCAAGATACGCTGCCCTTGCTATCTGACTGGCTGAAAACTACCTCTGTGTGCAGGCTTCCTCCACCCCATCTGAGAGGGTGTTCTCCATGGCTGGAGACACCATAAGCGCTGAAAGATCCCGTATCCTTCCAGAAAAAGCAGATATGCTCATCTTTCTGCAAAAGAACTGTTAATTTTCCCTGCTACTGTATTATAATTAGTATTTTTTGTTATTTAAAATAGGTTATTATCCCATCATTTGTTATTAGACATTGTTGGTTATTAAGTTTGTTCTTGTATTCATTTTTCATTTAAACACAGATGTTACTCCAGTTTCACATTTCCTGTGGACATCTTGATCTTGTTGAGTTTGTAAGATTGTGCAATAGTTAAGTAAACAAAGTGGATTCTGATAATCAAACAGTTTGTTCTCCTTTTTCCCCCAAATTGGAATCGAAAAAAGAATCGATAAAGAATCGAATCGTTTCATAGAATCGAAAAGGGAATCGGAATCGTGAAAATCTTTTCAATTTACAACCCTAATATTGAATAATATTATTAAATATTATTTTATATCTTTTCCATATCCATAACTGTTTTTATGTTCCTGTATTTATATTTTTGTATTTTCTGTAAAGTGACCTTGAGTGTCCAGAAAGGTGCTGTTAAATAAAATTTATTATTATTGTTATTAAATAATAGTAAATAATAATGATAAATAAATACATTATTAAATAATTGTCATGATCTGGCCTGTTTGCTCCTCCCTAATTAGTAATTCCTCTCACCTGCCCTCTTCCTTCCCTGCCTCAATTATAATTAATTCCCCTCACCTGTTTCCTCTGGTTTATATTCAGTTCAGCCTGAGCATTCAGCGCCAGATCATTTCTTGTCTTTCTGTCAGTCTGTTGTTTCAGTTTTAGTTCATGGTTCGTGTCCTGGATCCTAGCTGCCAGTGGAAAGAGAGTTTTAGAGTTTGTCTCGTCTCCTGATCGTCCACTGTTCCTCCCCCGCAGAGTCCTCTGGGTTTTTGGCTCAATATGTGGGGAGGTTCAGTTTTTATCCAGTAAGCCTGGCTCCAGGGAGGAGACCAGTTTAAAGTCCTGCTTCAAGTTCCGGCCTGCAGTGTCCGCGAGCCACAGCTCCACTTTTGTTTTGTTTGTTATTTAATAAACCTTTTGAACTTTCCTACTGACTGTCTCTTCTTGAATACTGGATCCATCTGTCCGCTTTCCTGACAATAATAATAAATCAATTGCAGTTGTGCAAAATGCTTAGCATGTAAATTATAGTGAGAAACATGTCAAACGTTGTCTAAAAAAGTGTTTTTTATAATATTACCACTTTGGTGTAATAATAAAATGAGATCAATAAAATGTGAGAGAGCAAGGGCCTTGTATGTGTATCTATGAGTTGCGCCTAATTTCCACCAATGTGGTGGAAATTACAACCTGACAGAAATTGGCAGGAAAATCTATGCTAGCATCACACAGAATTTTATGCTTAAAAAATACATCTATGTGTGTTAAAATAACAATTCATTTACAAACTGAGTTGATGTCACTGCATGTTTGGAAATTACATACAATAGAGCCAGCGGGGATTCCCAGCGCTGCCTCCCAGCGGTATGCTGGAGGTCTGGAGCTCCCAACAAGAACTGTGGATTTTAGGGGGATTATAATTCTGATTAACAGAGGATGTTTGGAGGTGGACTTTATCACAAAAAAATGCGTTAAAACTATTTTAAAAACGTATTTTAAAAAGCCAAACTGCTCTCTTTCTTGAAGCTAAAGAACACAGCAGATAAACGACCAGAGCGTTGAAACGTCAAAGTAACGTGAACACAGATTGATCGAGCGTCCAGATTTTCAGGTTTACGCATTTTTGAAACTTTGATGTGAACGCAGCATTAGGCTACATTAACACTGAGCACATATTGCAGTCTGACGGTAATCCAGGTGTGCTGTCCTTAAACAAGTGAAACATCATTGCAATGTTTCAGCTGATGAGATAAAGGATGCTACCTGAGCCTGGATAAGTGATTCTAACTCCGTCCTTACAGAGAATCTAAAGAGACAAAGCTCTGTCTAGAAGGTCACATGCTGCCCAGTAAGTGGAGGTTAATCACTGGGAGCAATGGTCTCATCTGCTTAAAGAGCCAGAGTGTGACTTCTGTCAAGCCCAGTTTAAACATCATTAATAATGTAAATGAGAGAAGAAGGAATGGACTCACAGTTGACGGTGATGTCTACAGTCTGTACGTCTGTGTCGATATCATTGACTGCCGTGCATTGGTACACCCCGGCCCTCTGTCTGGAGATGGATGAGATTTCCAGCAGCTCATCATCTGAAGCCAGATCCCCTGTGAGAGATCAGACACAGGGAGTGGAGAGGGTCGTTAACGCTTAATATGATGAGTCAACATCTGTGGCCTCATTTGGCTTCAGTGTCGCACCTCTTCATTCTGCTGCATGAGAGAAGAAGGGAGATGATTACAGGGCTAATGGAGAGTTTATAAAACGGTTACTCATCATTTCTGTTTCCTTGCGTTTGGATTGTGATGAACAACATCAACAGTTTCATTCTGAGGCTTTAGAAACGTCCTGCGGGGCTAAAAACGGCAGGATTTACAGCAATGAGGGGAGGTTCCTTCATGTTTGCAGCGCAGCACTTTGATCTGACATGACCAGACAGTGTTGAAGCTGCTAAATATGCTGACATCTGCCCACTGCTGTCAACCATTCATGCACCTGTTTGGTCTCCTTACAAAGAGGCCTTCTTCTGCACGCTGACATTTTCCAAGTAGGACACTTGATTAGTGCTTTGTTCAGCCTCCACTCATTATGTCTCGTCTGTCAGCGTATTATTCTCCTCTTTAGTCTGCCTCTCATGTCTGGTGCTGATATAGGAGAACATGAACAGGATAAAACACCAGATCTTTCCTTTTACTGCTGGAAGAATGGGGCATGCTTTAATAAAGCATTCAGCGCAGAAAACAAAGCGGCATAATTGACTAAAGGTTCCCTCCAAAGATGTACGAGGTGACAGTCATAAATTGCTCCCAGGCTAAGCCGGCTGCGTTCGGTACATTCCTGAAGGCACCAGGGAAGCCTGTTATGGAGAGAAAGGTTCCCTCAGACACTCGTTACCTGATGAGGAGCATCCGGAGGCCTGGAAGTCTGCAGGTTCTAGTTTCTGCTTTTCCTTCAGGTACAGTAGCAGCCATTCAACATTTCCCCTATTTCCTTGATGGGCCCTTGGCTGGTCCCTGGCTGGCTCCTGGCTGGCCCTTGGCTGGCTCTTGGTTGGTCCTTGGCTGGTCCTTGGCTGGCCCTTGGCTGGTCCTTGTTTGGTCCTTGGCTCGTTCCTGGCTGGTCCTTGTTTGGTCCTTGGCTAGTCCATGGCTGGTTCTTTGTTGGTCCTTGGCTGCTCCTTGGCTGGTCCTTGGCTGGCCCTTGGTTGGTCCTTGGCTGGTCCTTGGCTGGTCCTTGGCTGGTCCTTGGCTGGTCCTTGGCTGGCCCTTGGCTGGCTCTTGGCTGGCCCTTGGCTGGCTCTTGGCTGGTCCTTGGCTGGTTCTTGGCTGGCCCTTGGCTGGTCCTTGGCTGATCCTTGGCTGGTCTTTGGCTGGCTCTTGGCTGGTCCTTGGCTGGTTCTTGGCTGGTCCTTGGCTGGTCTTTGGCTGGTCCTTGGCTGGTCTTTGGCTGGCTCTTGGCTGGTCCTTGGCTGGTCTTTGGCTGGCTCTTGGCTGGTCCTTGGCTGGTTCTTGGCTGGTCCCTGGCTGGCTCTTGGCTGGCCCTTGGCTGGCTCTTGGCTGGCCCTTGGCTGGTTCTTGGCTGGTCCTTGGCTGGTCTTTGGCTGGCTCTTGGCTGGTCCTTGGCTGGTCCTTGGCTGGCTCTTGGCTGGTCTTTGGCTGGCTCTTGGCTGGTCCTTGGCTGGTTCTTGGCTGGTCCTTGGCTGGTCTTTGGCTGGTCCTTGGCTGGTCTTTGGCTGGCTCTTGGCTGGTCCTTAGCTGGTCTTTGGCTGGCTCTTGGCTGGTCCTTGGCTGGTTCTTGGCTGGTCCTTGGCTGGTCTTTGGCTGGCTCTTGGCTGGTCCTTGGCTGGTCTTTGGCTGGCTCTTGGCTGGTCCTTGGCTGGTTCTTGGCTGGTCCCTGGCTAGCTCTTGGCTGGCCCTTGGCTGGCTCTTGGCTGGCCCTTGGCTGGTTCTTGGCTGGTCCTTGGCTGGTCTTTGGCTGGCTCTTGGCTGGTCCTTGGCTGGTCTTTGGCTGGCTCTTGGCTGGTCCTTGGCTGGTTCTTGGCTGGTCCCTGGCTGGCTCTTGGCTGGCCCTTGGCTGGCTCTTGGCTGGCCCTTGGTTGGTCCTTGGCTGGCTCTTAGCTGGCCCTTGGCTGGCTCTTGGCTGGTCCTTGGCTGGTTCTTGGCTGGCCCTTGGCTGGTCCTTGGCTGATCCTTGGCTGGTCTTTGGCTGGCTCTTGGCTGGTCCTTGGCTGGTTCTTGGCTGGTCCTTGGCTGGTCTTTGGCTGGTCCTTGGCTGGTCTTTGGCTGGCTCCTGGCTGGTCCTTGGCTGGTCTTTGGCTGGCTCTTGGCTGGTCCTTAACTGGTCCTTGGCTGATCCTTGGCTGGTCTTTGGCTGGCTCTTGGCTGGTCCTTGGCTGGTTCTTGGCTGGTCCTTGGCTGGTCTTTGGCTGGCCCTTGGCTGGTCCTTGGCTGGTCCTTGGCTGGTCTTTGGCTGGCTCTTGGCTGGTCCTTGGCTGGTCTTTGGCTGGCTCTTGGCTGGTCCTTGGCTGGTCCTTGGCTGGTCCTTGGCTGGCTCTTGGCTGGTCCTTGGCTGGCTCTTGGCTGGTCCTTGGCTGGCTCTTGGCTGGTCCTTGGCTGGCTCTTGGCTGGCTCTTGGCTGGTCCTTGGCTGGTTCTTGGCTGGCTCTTGGCTGGTCCTTGGCTGGTCCTTGGCTGGCTCTTGGCTGGTCCTTGGCTGGCTCTTGGCTGGTCCTTGGCTGGCTCTTGGCTGGCTCTTGGCTGGTCCTTGGCTGGTTCTTGGCTGGCTCTTGGCTGGTCCTTGGCTGGTCCTTGGCTGGTCTTTGGCTGGTCCTTGGCTGGTTCTTGGCTGGCTCTTGGCTGGTCCTTGGCTGGTCCTTGGCTGGTCTTTGGCTGGCTCTTGGCTGGTCCTTGGCTGGTCCTTGGCTGGCTCTTGGCTGGTCCTTGGCTGGCCCTTGGCTGGTCCTTGGCTGGTCCTTGGCTGGTCCTTGGCTGGCTCTTGGCTGGTCCTTGGCTGGTCCTTGGCTGGTCCTTGGCTGGTCCTTGGCTGGCTCTTGGCTGGTCCTTGGCTGGCTCTTGGCTGGTCCTTGGCTGGCTCTTGGCTGGCTCTTGGCTGGTCCTTGGCTGGTTCTTGGCTGGCTCTTGGCTGGTCCTTGGCTGGTCTTTGGCTGGCTCTTGGCTGGTCCTTGGCTGGTCCTTGGCTGGTCCTTGGCTGGTCCTTGGCTGGCTCTTGGCTGGTCCTTGGCTGGCTCTTGGCTGGTCCTTGGCTGGCTCTTGGCTGGTCCTTGGCTGGTCCTTGGCTGGTCCTTGGCTGGTCCTTGGCTGGTCTTTGGCTGGCTCTTGGCTGGTCCTTGGCTGGTCCTTGGCTGGTCCTTGGCTGGTCCTTGGCTGGTCCTTGGCTGATCCTTGGCTGGTCCTTGGCTGGTCCTTGGCTGGTCCTTGGCTGGCTCTTGGCTGGTCCTTGGCTGGCTCTTGGCTGGTCCTTGGCTGGCTCTTGGCTGGTCCTTGGCTGGTCCTTGGCTGGTCCTTGGCTGGCTCTTGGCTGGTCCTTGGCTGGTCCTTGGCTGGTCCTTGGCTGGTCCTTGGCTGGCTCTTGGCTGGCTCTTGGCTGGCTCTTGGCTGGTCCTTGGCTGGTCCTTGGCTGGTCCTTGGCTGGTCCTTGGCTGGTCCTTGGCTGGTCCTTGGCTGGCTCTTGGCTGGTCCTTGGCTGGCTCTTGGCTGGTCCTTGGCTGGCTCTTGGCTGGTCCTTGGCTGGTCCTTGGCTGGTCCTTGGCTGGCTCTTGGCTGGTCCTTGGCTGGTCCTTGGCTGGTCCTTGGCTGGCTCTTGGCTGGTCCTTGGCTGGCTCTTGGCTGGTCCTTGGCTGGCTCTTGGCTGGTCCTTGGCTGGTCCTTGGCTGGTCCTTGGCTGGCTCTTGGCTGGTCCTTGGCTGGCTCTTGGCTGGCTCTTGGCTGGTCCTTGGCTGGTTCTTGGCTGGCTCTTGGCTGGTCCTTGGCTGGTGCTTGGCTGGTCTTTGGCTGGCTCTTGGCTGGTCCTTGGCTGGTCCTTGGCTGGCTCTTGGCTGGTCCTTGACTGGCTCTTGGCTGGTCCTTGGCTGGTCCTTGGCTGGTCCTTGGCTGGTCCTTGGCTGGTCCTTGGCTGGCTCTTGGCTGGTTCTTGGCTGGCTCTTGGCTGGTCCTTGGCTGGCTCTTGGCTGGTCCTTGGCTGGCTCTTGGCTGGTCCTTGGCTGGTCCTTGGCTGGCTCTTGGCTGGTCCTTGGCTGGTCCTTGGCTGGTTCTTGGCTGGCTCTTGGCTGGTCCTTGGCTGGTCCTTGGCTGGTCTTTGGCTGGCTCTTGGCTGGTCCCCTACAATTCCTATTTAAACATCAATCTTTGTACTAAAATTTTTTTTCTGTCATGATTTGTGGACATTAAGATCTAAAGAGAAGCGCCACCTCCTTGTCAGACCTTGTAAATCAGTGAAAGGGTGGAGTCAGAGTAAAAAATATGCAAGAGGGGGGGTCACTGCAGTGGCTGGAAGCTGGAGGGGATTTTGCTGGCGTTTGGCTATATTGAATGGCTGCTACAGTATGAAGTCACCAGCCAGCAGAGACCAGGTGAAGCCAGAGAAACCCTCAGCAGACAGCTGATCCTGTTGGACGGAGAACTTCCTGCAGCTCCAGCACTGGAGTCTCAGCCATGAAGCCATACAGTGTTTCTCTCACTACATCAAACCAGAAATCCTGTTTCTTTACTCTGCATCTGATCTTTGATATGTTTTCATTCTGGCTTCAGTTGCTTCTGCCTGCATCAGCATCCTTCTCACCTGGAGCCTCTTTCATTAAGACAAACCGTGATGGGATGTATGAAGCCATGATCATACGTACGGATTTAGACGCCTTTCCTTTGAACATGCCAGTCGAAGGAATTTATCACACAGGAAAATATTTCAAACTTCACATTTATATAAATGCAATAATCAAACATCAGCTGTCGGTGGGAGATTCACCAATCAGCTCCTTCAGGAAGGAAAGAATGGAGGGAATGTGGGACAGAGAGCCTCCTTTACCTGGTCAGCCATGACAGCTGCCTCTTACATCATCACACAGGTGATGCAGTCCTTTTGATGAGGCTGGGATCCTGTTCC